GTTTTGGTTTTGTTTTGTGGTGCTGGGAATGGAACTCAGGGCCTTATGCATGCTAGGCAAGTGCTTTACCACAGCCCCAGCTCTAAAAACCTTAAAGTTGCAGGGCCTCAGCAGTTTGACATTGAAGTGCCTAAAGGCGGATTAGGGAATGCAGGAGTTCAAACAGTTTTATAAAGGAGGAAGCCAAGAATCAGAAAGTTGAAGTGATTTGCTCTAGGCCCCACAGATGTCTCCAAAGTCTATCTTTTTATACCACAAGCTATTTGCTGGAAGCCCTTGAGGACAGATGTCTTCACTAGCCCTTACTCTGAGCTCAACTCTTCCCTTCCAGACCCTTTAATAACATCACCTCTTCCCTGGGAGCTGCCCTGACTGCCTTCATCTCCTTTCCTGAAAATTGGTGTCTCAGCAGAAGTTAAGTGAAGCCTTGTTCAAATGCCCTAGGGGTGTGCTGTTGGGAGGGGCACAGTCCACTGTGATGCAGAACTCCACTCTCGCTGGCTCCTGCTTACTCGCTCACTCACTCACTCGCTCACTCACTCACTCGTATTCATCAGTTGGGTGAGTTTGGGTTTTCTTCCAGGTGAGGGGTGGGGAAGTAGTACCTGCCAGGTGACATGGCACCTGGGAGTCAGGGGTCTTGGATTGGAGTTTTGGTTTTGCCACCAGCTTTCTGTATGGCCCTGGTCTGATGTGTCTCTTCCCCATTCCTGGCCTTGATTTCCTGCTCTGCAAAATGAAAGGTTGGAATGAGAGAGGGCAAGTCAGTTTAGCTCATCAGCTGGTGCTGGCGGAGTGTGTTGAGAGGGAAGTCGAGGTTCAATCTGATGTCTACGGAAGAGATGGCTTAGTGATGGCTGCTGTGAAGAGGATGGGGAGGGGTCATAGTTTAGCCCCTTCCAGCCTAACAATCCAGCTTCCTAAAATGGATTCCTTTACCTTTCCTGTTGAAAGGGTGGGTAGCTGGGTTTATCTTAAGCTTAGGTACCTCACTGAGTGTCAGAAAGGCTCATTAGCTGGTTAGATACGTGATTAAAGGGAACCAAGTGGTCCCCAGGGTTGGGTGGATGCTGTCAGGGCCCTGAGACTTGCTGTTTTTAGGACTGAGGGAAGGTTGGAGAGCCCTCAGTGTGGGGAGACCCCAGGCATAGGCCTGATGTTGAGAGCTGGAGAAAACACCAAGCTTATTCCTGGGGAGCTTGTGTGATGTCTTCTGAAATTTCAGGGGAAGGGCAGTAGTTCCTCCTCCCTGGAGGACAAATCAGAGCTGAGTTCTTTGGGCTGCAGGAGTGGATGGCAGTAACCAGGGAGAACTTCAGAAGGAGATCTGTGGCACATTGAGATCGTGGGAAGGATGTCTTGCTTTAGGTTTGATGAACTAAGCTGGGGCAGGGACAGGCCTGCCCAGAAGCAGAGGAATTGTTGCAGTGACTTTTGTGGAAAGGATGTAGTTCATTTAGTAATTGAGTAGAACTGCTTGAATGTGAAATGCTGTATTGTGTCCTGCTGGCCCCTCATCACACTGCCCTCATCTCTGCCTCCTTCCCCTTTCCATCCCTGTGGTCTGATGGCTCTGGGTTTGCTATGGAGTGGATTTCCTTCCTTATAGGGGTCAGGTGTCCATCTCTGTCTTTCTCTGGCTTACCCTTCCTGAGCTAGAGTGACTGCCAGAGAAGCTAGAACTCTGGTTCTGAGCCCTCCACTGCAGCACACATTTATAAATTCAGTTCTCCTAGTCAAAAGGACTTTTCCAGAGCACTTAATCTGACCCTTTATTTAACACAGATGAGTAAGCTAAGGAACAGAGAAGTCCGTACAAGGAATCTTTCCACTTCTTAATCCATGTCATGATTTATAACCCTCCCAGGCTGCCCCACTACGGTTGCTGAACAGAGGGTCAGGCCCTAGGACCTTGGTCTAGTGTTTGGATCTGGCTCCTCTGCCCACCTTGGGGAGTGGCCTGCAGGCTGCGCACCCCCAGACATTCATCAGCTCTCCAGTTCTCTTGGGTGGTTAAGGATGAGAAAACGGCGCTGTATGGTGCAGAGTCCTGGATGTCAGGCCATCTGTTTGTAGGTTCCATTCATTATTCATATGGAAACATGAGCTCCCAAAGTTGGCAGGGTCAGGATTTCTGTCCTTTACCTCTTCCTTTCTCACCCTGGGGTGTGGCTCACCAGGGAAGTGCTTGTTTCTCCAGGTATGGTCTGGGGGATGGGGATGCCCCTTAGCTGCTTATGCCAGCTGAGAGAATATGGGACAGAGAGGGGGTTTTCTTATCATAGGCACTTTTCTTGCAGTTTTCTCAAAGACCTTAGAGACCCAGGGCAGAGCCAGAGCTTGAGGAATGGATGCACATCTTTGGATGAGCTCTGAGTTGAAGGGACAGGGGCTGCTGAGCATGTTGTCTCTTTGTGGAAACAGGAAATGTGCATTTGAGCCCAAGCCTTGCCACTTCCTTTCTGAGTAGGATGGGCAACTCCTTTACTTCTCTGAGACTCAATTTTTTCATCTGCCATGTAGAGATAACTATGCACCTTGCAGAAATGTTAGAATGAGCAAATTAGACTTAGGCCCTGGCAGATTCACAATATCAGATAAGCCCTGTCCCACCTTCCACTAAAAGACCATGCCGATGCCCCAAAAAAACACACAAACTGGCACTAGAGCTGGAAACTAAAGAGATCATCACAGGCCAAAGTCCAGGGGGACTTTCCATTAGCTACAAGGTTGATGGGGGATGGAGTAATACAATCCAGGTCTTTGCACACATCTCTGGGTGAGTGAGAACAGTCCAGACAGCCACAAAGAAGGCAAAACAAGGCATTGACTCATCCCCTCTGTCGGTCCTAATTCACCAAGCTGGCAGGAGCCATGCTGACTGGGAGACCAAGTGACCGTTCTCCCCTGTCTGGGGACTATCTTTCTCATCAGCCAGAGTGGTGCGTTCATTCTTCCACCCCCATTTTCATCCCCTTTCTGTGTCCTTTTGGAAAGTCAAATTCCCTCAGGGTCACAGGTCTGAGGGCATAAGGGTCATGCAGAATGCCCTGAACCCTGGGATGTGCCTCTGCCCAGGAAGAGAACTGTGGGCTGGGACAGAGCCAGAAAAGTGCTGGGTGCAGAGCATGGCTTCCCTGTATTCTGCTGGAGCAGAGGAGCAGACTGCAGCACTAGGCTTTGCAACTGAGTTAGAGGCTGACAGCTGGAGACCCCCTGCTCTGTATGAAATGGGCCGCCAACACACGATGCCCCTCCCTCAGAGTGGCTCTCAGAGCCTTCTGTCCTCTTCTTCTAGCACTTATCGTAACCACCATTAAATATTTAATTGCATAATTAGTTATTTACTGTCTATTTCCCCTCCTGGACTGGAGGCCTTGAGAGGGTAGGACCAAGCTGGCTTGGCTCACTGCTGTACTCTTGGCACTCAGCATTGGCCTTGAAATTTTAGGAAATTAAATATTTGTTGAATACAGCTAATGAGAAGAGTAAATTTCTGTACTTTGGAAAGGAATTTGGCAATATGGTCCAAGAATCCAAAAACCATTTATGCCCTTAGTATCAGGCAGGATGCTTTTGGATGTAGCAGAGCGCTCTGATTCAAACTGGCTTAAGCAATGGAAAATGTATTATTGCTTAGAACTGGAAGGCCAGAGAAAGGCAGGCTCCAGGTGTGGCCTGGTGACCTTTTGGTCTGTGTGCTGTGTTACCCTCCAGAGTACTGGTTTCAGACTCTGACTGGGCCCACTGTGGGGGGGGGTAGAGAGAGAGAAAAAGAGACACCAAACCCCCACCTCTCTTGTAAGCATGGAATCCAAATCTCCCTTTAAGTTGTATTGGGCCAACTTAGTCATATGCCCACCTTGGATGAGTGAGAGTCACCAAGGAGTACGCCATTCACTAAAGTCCTGAAACTAATCAGGATCTGCCTCTAAAACAAGGACAGGGTGGGACCTGGATAAAACCACTATTCTGCCAGGATACATGAAGTGGGGCAGCACATGGGGGAAGCTACCAGCCATTCCCACACCCTCCCACCCGGCCCGTCCATTTCTAGGAGTCATTCCCCAGGACATCAGCAGACTAAACCAGTGCAGAAAGATGTTTATTTCAGTGTTTATTTAAGAGAGAGGCAAGAGAAACTTGGACCTGATTCAAGAGGTAGCTGTATTGAAATATTTAAGTCAATTATACTACCTCTATACAACAGACTATTAAGATGGCATTAAAACTTTTATACAAAGTGTTAATGACATTGGGAAATACTTAGGATATAATGTTAGATGAACAATACCAGGATATAAATTGTATTTACAGTATGAGTCCAATTATTTTGGTACATGCACAGAAAGGACTCTGGAAGGAACTGGGTTAAAACACTGGTGGTGGCTGCCTCTCGGCAGTGCAGGCACGGGTGATTTGGGCCTGTTGTTTCATGCTTTTCTGAGCCATCCCCTTCACCCAGGAGGACCCCTTCCACTGGCTGCGCAGGCAGAGCCTGGTTTGTTTTCCCTGTGCTTATTACTTGCTATGGAAGTAATCAACCCTAAGCTCATGAGGATTCTCTCTCTGCTGTGACTGTTCCTGGCACTTTACCTGTGCTATCTCATTTAGTTCTTATAGCAGTCCTATAAGGTACAGGCTTTTATTTCTTATTTTGCTAATGTCTTCTGAGATCCCAAGATGTTCGGTCACCGGGTCACACCGGCTAGTGCCTGGAGGCCTTTGGAATTCAAGCCCGGGTCATCTGACTCTGTAGCCTTAGTCTTCACTGCAAAACCAGGCCACCTGCCATTTCTTCATGGCCACACACTAACAAGAATAGTCCTGTTTGTTGAGCCAGATCCTGTACACGCCTTTGATATTTATTTGTTAATTTAATACTTACAGCCTCAGAGAGGCTGAGTGACTTGCCCAGGGTCCACAGCTGGGAAGTAGTGGGACTGCTGTAGAGTTACTGGGGTCTGATGTGAAATTTCTTTGTCTCCCTCACACTTCAGGGTTGCCTGAAGATCTCCTGTGCTTGGGATCATGTTTAACGGGGAGCCAGGTCCAGCCTCGGCTGGAGCCTCCAGGAATGTGGTGCGGAGCTCCAGTATCAGTGGCGAAATCTGTGGATCCCAGCAACCTGGGGGTGGGACCGGGACCACCACTGCCAAGAAGCGGCGGAGCAGCCTGGGTGCCAAGATGGTGGCCATCGTGGGCCTGACCCAGTGGAGCAAGAGCACACTCCAGCTTCCCCAGCCAGGTGAGGGGCCCAGGGCACTGAGGGTCGGGGGTGGGTCACTTTGCCCTGCGTACCCTGGTATTTAACTGTCGGATGTGCTTGACCACACCCCACACTTTGTATGGTACTTCCCACATACTAGGCACTTTTCTGGGCCAAGGAGGTATGCCGATTCCTGTCATCCTCAGCCTCACCAGGCATGCACAGAAGCACAGGAAAGGCTAGGTTCCTGTCCCAGATTACACAGTGGGGAAACAGTGGAGCCTGGGTTCAAACATGCATAGTTGGGCTTCCTACTTCATGCCCTGAATTTTTACACTCTGCTGGCTCTGCACAGACTTACACATTAATCAGTAATTATTTATGAGATTCTCCTTTGTTCCTGGCACCATGGTCAGGACACCACGATTTTCCAGACATACGCATCCATAAGATTCAGTCTCATCTGTCATCTCTGAGTTTCCTAAGTATAACAGCCACATGAATATAGTTACAAAGAGAAACAAGTAGATATTACAAAGAGAAACGTAGATGTTACAAAGAGATGTTACATCACACCTAGATATTACAAAGAGAAAGGAGAGAAACACAGATTCATGGTTTGTACAATCACATCGAGTGCCCAGGTATTCAGTTGAGCCAGTCCTATCACCAGGAAAGCATATCATAATCATTCTCACTCAGATTCTGCATGGCAATGAATAAAACCAACCAGAATCACAGATGCACATACTCAGATCACAGAAACATGTCATACTTGGGTACGCACTTGCCTGACAGAGCCACGTTCACACACCTTAACAGTCGCATCCTCATGAAAAGGAACGCTTTCTCGGTCTGCACTTATACAATCCCAGATATACTCCGACTGGTAGGAGACCCACCTTGTTGCACACAGCCACACATGGACCCCATGTCACAAAGGAGCGAGCCCTCTCCACCAAGACCCCCTCACTTTGTGGCATCAGCCCAGACACCAGCTGGTTTTGTTTTAAAATCTCTTCCTGCTTATTTTGCTCAAGAGTAACAACTTCCCCGAGAAACCTTCAAATAGGCAGCTGGATGGGGGTGGTGGGGGGTGGGGTTGCCGGAGGATCAGGGAGAATGCTCATCAAGACTCTCAGTTGGGGCTGGGGGTGGGGGACTTTTCCAGGCCTTAAAATAGATTCTTACAAAGCCCTTAACAGGAGCATGCGGGATGGTCTTTTCCAGCAATCATGCTGTGATGTGGTTTCTGGCGCAGGGAGAGGCTGGATGGGGAAGGGGCTTGAGGTTATTAGTGCCTTAGGGTGAGCAGTGCCAGCCTGGGACTAGGTAGTAAGGGAGGTGGGGAGTTGGGGATCCTGAACTTGGGATAGGACAAGGAGGACAGGGATAGCGCCAAGGGTGGGATTAGGGCCAGAGTATTAAGATGAGGACGTCACAGAGGTGTTAGACCCCACAGTCTGGCTTTGGCAGACCACACCCAAGAATCTGGTCTTAGGCCTAAAGGTTTCTCTTGTCCAGAGTGATTGGGAGGGACAGTCTCTCAAGGCCAAGTCAGGGGCCTGAGTCCCTGGGAGATATTGCAGTGATCTGCATAGACTTCACAGACGGCAGGCAGGGATGGGGCAGATGCCAGGAAGACCTTTTGCCTTGGGAGGAGATGAATGGCCATGGGGGCTTCTGGATCCCTGTCTCCTTGGTATGTAAGGGCACTACTGAAGGCCGGGGGCTGGGACAGGAGAATTGCCCAGATGCCGTTCTAACTGAAGGTCCCTATGAGTCATCTAATTGCTGAATGTCAGAGCAGGAAGGGCCCCTCGAGGTCATCTAGTTCATTGTACTCATTTATGACAAACATTCAAAGCCTGGGGAGAAGGCATTTTCTTGGAGAATGATCTCAGGTGGCCTCTGAAGCCACACCCTGTCATTTACTAGGTGATCCATCTGGGCAAGTTACTGCATCTCTCTGAGCCTGCTTCTTGTTTGTAGAATGAGGACAATAATATATGCCTTGCAGAGGTGTCCAGAGTTAAATGAGATAATGAATGGGAAGGTGGCCAGCCTTGTGCTTGCCACATGGGAGACACTCAGTGAAATTGGTGCCGTTATTGTTACCCTTGGGCACAGTAGAGTCAAAAGAGAAGTAAGGCCTCTAGCCTCCACACCTCTCCCATCTTTATTCCTTTCCCAGTTAAAATGTTTCTTTCTTTTTTCTCCAAGCCTTGAGGATCCCAGCTTGGGGCCTCCTCCTGGTTGGAAAAGTCTGGCATGAGAGGGATGTATGGTGCCAGTTCACTGTGGGTGTTGGCTCTGGAATTGTTGTTCTGGGAAAACTTCCCATAGGGGTACCCCCTGCTGCCCCCCACTGCTCCAATATGGGATAGCTCAGATCCTTGCAGAGCTGGGCTGTGTGAAGTTGGTAGGAATTCCTCTTCTGGACCCAACCTTCTGGGCTGGGCTCTGGGTCTGCCCTTCCCAATGACCCCCCTTTATCCTAGTTTATCTGTACCCTGCTTTAGCCAGAGCCCTGCGATGCCCTTTTTGTTTCAAAGCCTCTGCCCTAGTTCAGACCTCATAATATCTAGCCTGAGTGTTGTACCAGCCTCCTTCCTGGTTCCCCTGCCACCCCCTACCAGTTTATTCATTATGTTGCCCTAGAGTGGACTTTCAAAAACTCACCCTGGTGCTTTAGAGGGCTAGTCCTGGCTCTGTAACTCCCCATGGGACCTTTGGAAAGTCACTTTCCCACTGAGTTTCAGTTTTTTCTTCTGTAAAATGGAGTTAAAAAATGCTCCCTCCCAACTTCTTTCTAGATCTATAATTCTGTAAGTTGTGGGAGCAATGAGAGAGGTGAGTTCAGGGCTTTTGGGTCCCAGGGCACAGGTGGAATCTGGTCTGGTATTAGGCTAGCTCCACACAGGGTCATCCATGGCTGTTTCAGCCCGTCCAAATGGAGCTTCTCTTTTCAGTACCAAGGACAGTGGCTTTTCTCTGCTGGGCTCTCTCTAGGTTCTGGGTCAGAAATCTCAGGATCATTCCAGAAGATGTCCCTAATGGTGTATTGCTGCAGGTTGTTACTGCCCCTCTCTTGTATATGACAGGACAGATGGGATGGTTCCTGAATTTTTTCAGTATCTGGGGACTACAGAATTATTGTAAGCAATTTGGCTTGGTGCTCTAGAGAGAAGCTACATGAAGTTATTCCCTGGATTGATGGGGTTGAAACTGCTCAGGGATGAAGCCAGTAAAGGACTTTTCCCCTAAGGCTGCAAGACCTTTCTCCTCCCTCTGAAGACATGGAACCTTCCCTCTGATGAGTTACATTACACATAGATGGGACATTGGGAGGGGAGAGAGATGCAACATACTAGCTGACTGGGAGTCTGGGGACCTGGCATTTAGTCCCAGTTCTTTTGACTCCTGGACCTCAAGCTCCCTATTTGAGAAATGGTAGAGGGGGCTAACAAACTATTTATTAACCTCTTCAGGGTCCTACAACTCCTCCATTCAAGGATTCACATTGGACTGGGCAAGCCTTAGAAGTGAAATTCACATCCAAATGGGTCAGAGTTTTCCCAAGCTCTAAAAGTGAATGTTGAGGGGGTGAGGATGTGAGGGGGAGGAAGGGTGACTTGCAGCCCTCGGACCCCATCTGTCTCCTAACTGGGTTAGAGGGGATGTGGCAGTTAGGAGCCAAGGACAGGGAGAGTCCTCCTACACTCTCCATTTTTGCCCAGCCCTCTGTGTGTGTGGCAGGTCACACACCATGTGTGGGTGGGCACTGTTGTGTGTGATATAGTGGACTGGTTCAACTCCAGGTATTTGAGAGTTCACATAAAAACATCATACATGATCTAACTACATTTGATAGAGCATGTCATGTGTACATATGGCCAAGACCTGGTGGGACCGTTTGTGACCATGCAAGTTTGTACTAACATAATTGACCTTGTATGTGAGATAACTGTATTCATATATGTAATCGTCAGCTTTGTATATGTCTGCTTATGATCATCTATGTGAAAGAAATAGTGTAAGCTGAGATGTGTATATATGTGCGTGAGACAGACACACTTCTCAGTGATCTCACTGATCCTAGATGTGCTAGATATTCCCATGTCCTAGATGCTGGCTTGATTTTACAGGAGTCATTCCCCTTTACTTCCAAACCCTGTTCCCATCACCTCCCCTCCACTACCATCCCATCCACTGGTGATACTAGCCCTCTCAACCTTCCCTCCCACAGTGGAGACTTCTTGAAAGATAAATAGAGCAAAGAAAGAGAAATAAAGTCCTCCTTCTCCCAGGCTGAGGTCAGGAACATTCCTTCCCCAATCCACAACTGGAATGGGAGTAGGAGAAAAGACTGCTAGGGTAATCAGATCCCCCATCTCCACTGTTTTCAGGGGCTGTGTCTCCTACCCATGTCTCAGGTCTCCCCCATCTCTGTAGAGAACTCCACTCTTAATTTGCTTAGGCATCTAACCAGTGACAGCAGGTATCTCCTTTGATATAGTTCCCATCCAAGCATCACTTCCTCCCTATGAAATTCCTCTGGCTAGCAAGCTTCTGCATGGGAAATTCCTACAAAACCCCAATGTGTCCCCACTTCACTTCCCAAGAAGAGAGTGAATCTGAAGGGACCACACTGAATGCTGAAGAGGTTGCTATGGAAACCCAGGTAGGATGGTACACTGCTAGGAGAAGGAGAGTGCCCCTTTTCCCCTGTCAGGTGGAGAACGGGTGCTGGGCAGGGCATGCCCTGGGTAGAATACAGAGGCACAAGGCAGGCTTGTGCTGCACAGCTTCATGGGCTCTTCTACAGACCTTTCCTTTAAAGTCAAAGTCAATTCAGGTCAACTTAGCAGTCCCTCTCAAAGTCTTGCTTCCCCAAGGGCCTTACCAGCTTGCCACACATGTCCCTCTCCACATTTGGACCTACCTTCAGAAGGGAAGTTTGTTTGAGAGTGGTCATGCTCCTTTTTTTTTTAAATAGGGCCTCTGAGGGTATCAGAGAAATAGGTTGTGTGGGGTCTGGGTGTGATGGGGCCCCTGGGGGATCTGGAAGAAGGAAAGTAAATCTTGTAAGACATACTTTCCAGAAGAGTCGGGGGAGAAGGAGAGGGGAGAAGAACATGAGTTTGGGGGCAAGGGATGAAGTAGAGTGGGCACTTGGCATCAGAGGAGCCTGGTAGAAGGAGCTCTGCCTCAAGCCCCCTCTTCACCATCCTGACCCTCTAGCCATCTTTCTAGTCCACTTTGTGTCACTGCCCCTGGCAGGGCAGGTGTCAGGCTGTAGACCAGTTCTGGGGGTAGCTCAGTCATGTCCCCACTCCAGTCAGCTCTGCTTGCGTGCCCCTTCCCAGAGGGGAACTGGCCACACTGTCCAAGAAGCCTTAGGTTGTTTCAAACTGATTTCCTCTCTCTCCTTTGGGGTGGGGTTCTCAGAAGGGGCCACCAAGAAGCTGCGCAGCAACATCCGACGGAGCACAGAGACCGGCATTGCTGTGGAGATGCGAAGTCGCGTCACACGCCAGGGCAGCCGGGAGTCCACTGATGGGAGCACCAACAGCAACAGCTCCGATGGCACGTATGTGCACCCCTGCTCAGCCCATTCTGTCTCCTCCTCCTCAACTTGGGTCACACAACCAGCAGGAAGGGCAGGAAGACCTTCCTATGTGGTTTCCAGCCAAGATGTCTGGTTTCCTCTATGCCTCCGACTCCCTTGTCTCTTTCTCAGGACATCCATTGCCTGGCCCCTAGGTATTCCTATTGCTCCACTGGAGTGCCCTAGAGCCCAGGAGCAGTGAATTCCTTCTGTGTTTCAGAAAGTGACCTGTGCCTCCTGCCTCCTACTACTTCCATGCCTCCCTGCTCAGAAGGAGACGGGTGGAAAGGAAAATGTGATCCTAAATTACCTTTAGCTCTAAAATGATTGTTATGGCTCAGATGAGTGGAGTCCTCTCAAGTACACTTTCTTGGAGCTTAGGAAAAGAGATTGGACTAGATCCGTGTTTTTTTTAAATTGTCAGTAGTGACTCATAGACAAGGCATAAAATCACCACCATGGGTCAGAACCAGCATTAGAAAAAGAAATCGAGAACTCAAGTATATCTTAGTAGTGAGGATGAATTACCTTGGGCCCTTTTGTTTCAGTTTTACATGTATAGATATACTTTGGTCCTTAGCAGATCATGATGGTAAATCCTTTTCTTACATTTGGGTTGCAGTAAAACATTTGAAAGTCATTGGGTTAGATATTCCCTTAGATCTCTTCTAAATCTGTGAAACTATAGTTTATGACTAACACTCTCTGCTTCTGCTTCATTAACGCTCTTTAATCTCCAGTCTCAGGACTCTGGGCTCCATTATTAGTATTCAGTGACCATATCTCACTACTATACAGTCAACTCTCAGCATTTCTAGGGGATTGGTCCCAGGACCTCCACTGACAAAAAAATCCACGGATGCATAAGGCCCTTACATAAAATGGTGTAGTAGTTGCATATAACCTGCATACATCCTCCTGTTACTTAAATAATCTCTAGATTACTTTTAATACCCATGTATTAAAATGTGAATGCAATGGAAACAGTTGTTAGGCTGTATTGTTTAGAAAATAATGACAAGAAAAAAAGCCTGCACATGTTCAATACAGGCACATTTTTTTTTTCAATAATGTTTTCAATCTGTGGTTGGTTGAATCTGTGGATGTGGAACTCCTGGATACAGAGGGCTTTCCCTACCTACTTCCATGAATGAGAATAGCTGCTACATTTAACTTCCCATGTGCAGATCACCATTGGGTACCTTAGATCAGTGAGTCCTGCCTTGGAATCTACCTACTGTAATCAGCCCAGGAATGGAGTGATCATTTAACACTTATAACCATCCAAAGGAATATGGGAACTATCATTATCTCTGTCTATGAGTAAGGAAACCAAGGCAAGAAGGAGGGGAGGAACCTTGCTCAAGGTCAGGGCTGTTAAGTGGTCATGGCTGTTAAGTATTAAGTGGTGTTAATTAGGGCCATTTGACTCTATAACCTTTATTCAAACCTCTACTCTAAGGTAGAGGATAACTTACTCTATACTAAGCTCCCAAAAGTTTGTGACCTTGAGAGGCTACATTTCTTTAACCCCTCAGATCCTATTGAAATAAGAAGGTGATACTAGGTGATTGCTGATTATGATCAATAAAAAATGGGTGCCATGAAGCCCCTTCCTGGGGGAGTAGAGGCTCCATGTAGTAGAAGAGACATAGCCTCTCTCTGATGAGCATATACCTCCCTGCCTGTCACTGGCCAGTTGGGACTCTAGGCCAACCTGTCCAGCAGGGATTCTTTGCTGCATAGCCTTTTCTCTCTCTAGCCAGGAGGTCTTATACTTTGGTCCATTGTAGCCCCTGAGCAGGCCTGGGCCAACCCTTCCTTATCTGTCCTTTCTCTGCTGGCCACAACCTGGGCATCCAGCTTAAGGACATGAAAAAATAGCACTTTCCCCTTGACAATAGCAGCAGCAGCAGTAGCAGCAACTCTAACTACCATTTGTTGTTTCCTGTTTGTCCTGAACTCTTCCCATACCCTCTGCCCAGCCTGCACTGTAGTCTATGAGTTGAGCATCATCTCTGTTTTGCAGGCAAGGCTTACTTCTTGGAGCCTGTTTTCTCATCTGCAAAATTGGGTACTAGTTCCTATCAACAGATTGTAAGGATTAAAATGACACAGTATGCTGGGTGTGGTGGCCTACACCTATAATCCCAGTGGCTTGGGAGACTGAGGCAGGAGGACAATAAATTCACAGCCAGCCTCAGCAACTTGGTGATACCCTAAGCAACTTAGCAAGACTCTGTCTCAAAGTAAAAAATAACAAGGGCTGGGGATATGGCTCAGTGGTTAAGTGCTCCTGGGTTCAATCCCTGGTACGAAAAAAAAAAAAAAAAAAGGAAGACACAGTAGTGCACTTAGAACATTTAGTGTCCCATTGGCACCTGGTTAGCTTTTAATCACCGGCAGTTTTTCTTGTTACTATTTCCAGGCCCCCCACCACCCTGGACCACCCACCATCCCTTGCCATTCATCTCAACCCTATAATTGTGTTATTTTGGTCTCAGTTGCTGTTCAGGGCACCACCTTGCAGTTATTGACTAGGATTTTAAATTTATGGTCAAATCAAATCTCAGTTCTTAGAACTTGCTCTAGGCACTGAGATTTCTGGCCTGACATCCTTTGGTGAGGAACACAGGTGTCCAGCAGTTACTGCATTTTAAGGGTCACCTCAGAAATCCTTGGAACTTGAAGAATGAAAACCATCATTATGAGATTTTAAATGTTGTCTCTTCAGTGACATCAAAGAATTTTTCTTCAATGTGCAGAAATGAACAGTTGTCTGCCTTTCCTGCAGGTTCATCTTCCCCACCACCCGGCTGGGAGCTGAAAGCCAGTTCAGTGACTTCCTGGATGGGCTGGGACCAGCCCAAATTGTGGGGCGACAGACGCTGGCAACACCCCCCATGGGTGAGTCTTCCTGAGGGCAGGGTGAGTGGGGAGTGGGTAATGGCAGAAAAGGCAGGGAGGGTGAGCCAGCGGTGGGGGTGGGGTCATGACAAGGTACAGGCAGCAGAAGGGAGCCCTTCCTCTGGCTTTTTTGCCAATGAAGAGTCGGTGGAGCATTCATCAATTCTTCCCTCATCAAAGATGGGAGGGATGGCAGCCTTTCTCTGCCTGCTGTCCCGCAGCACCTTTTACAGCACATCCCCTCCCTCACTTTACTCGCCCATCACCTGAATGTAGCATTGGCTGTCCTGGAGTTGATTCACCAGTTCTCTGTGTGAACCTGGATGAGTCACTTCCCTTCTTTAAGCCTCAATTTCCTCATTTGTAAAATGGAGATAATACGACCCACTTGAGTTCTGCAATCTCACACCAGCTGATTGAGCTCCTTTCTATTAGATGCTTTGCAGTGAGATCTTTTAATGTGCTTGTAGGAACTGAGCTGATTTGACTGTTTCTCTTAAAAGTGCCTGGCACCTAGAAGCTGTCTATTATTTTTCTCATCCGTCTTCCTTGCAGTAAGGAAGGACATTCTGAAGCCTATGCTTGGTCCTCTTAGCTGCAGTCTGGGTCATTTCGTGCACTCTGGGACTACTTCTCCCTCCCTCAGGCTATGTTGCTTTAAGCAGCTTCTCTCCAAACTGGCTTCTGCCTTCCCTCGTGTCCCCATCAGTCTGGCCTGAGCAGCATTATCTGACCCAGAAGCCCATGGTCCCTATCCAGACAGTACTCGACCTTTGACCCTCCTAGCAAAAGAGGAAGGCAACTGTGCACAACGGGTCTGAGATTCCATTCCAGGCCCAGGACTCTTGCCACAGCAAGAGTAATACCCTGTTTTCCTTGAAAGGGTCCATACTAAAAGAGAGAGAGACAGAGAGAGAGAGAGAGAGAGAGAGAGAGAGAGAGAGAGCGCGTGCGAGAGAGCTCATGTATAATGGCAAAAAAAAAAAAATAATAAGGGGGACCATAGAGCCCCTTGGAAGAGGGGTCCATGAGGATCCTTAGAGAGGCAGTGTCAGCTCTCATCTGGTTCTTGCATTGGATTGAACTAATTCCCACCATTTTCTGACAGCCTCTTAAGGGCCTGCTTTCCCTCTCCCCTAGACCATAAAATTGAGAAGCAGCAAAATGAGCCAACTACTTTCACAAGGCCAGTGTGCCATCAGAGCCTTGCACATTTGTGTGTGGTGCCCCCTTGTGTCCAAAACTGGGAAAGCAGGTTTGCATTTCCTCTCCTTCATTTGGGAGTGAGATATAGCTAGGTGTGGAGAAAATGAATTCCCAAGACCCCCCTTTCCCCCATGAAGAGGTCAGGAATCACTAGAGGAAGATGAATTCTAGGATGCCTCCTGAAAGTAGTAAATCCCTGTCCTCTTTTGTATGCAAATATGAATAATTGCATAATGGCTCAGAGAATCTGAAAAGGGTGGTTGAACCAGAAGTCTGGCCCATTTAATTTTTCTGGATCAGGCTTATGATTATCTACTGCTTTGAAGGCTGTTCCACGTGTCTACTGCATAATTCTAAATCCATGGTGAACAAAGCTAAGAGTTCCTAGAAATCACGTAATGCTATGATTCCACACATGGGATCTGATTCTGTTGGACACAGGACCTGACCTTGTGAGCACTCAGCTCTCTGTGCTTCTCTGGCAGAGGGTTGAGTGGCCCCATTTCCAGGTAGTGCCTTGTATCCTGGGCCAGCTCAGCTTAGCATTGCTTCCCACTTAACGCTCTTTCAGTATTTGTTTGATAAATTAATGGGGAGTGGCTGAGGGCTGCTGGAAGGGAAGATGAAGAGAGCATACAGGCTTCCTCACACAGGAAGCTCTCTGTCCCTAAACTTGTCTGTTCTGCTTAGTGAAACAGAAGCCTCCCAGTCAGCTACACGATGGGAATTTGGCAGCCAGTTGTTGTGATCCAAGCATGTTCCTTGAGGGTGATGCCCCATCCCATGCCACAGGATCTAGCAAAGTATTTCTCAGTCACTTGGAAGTGACTCAATTTCAGTTTTTGGTACTGGGGATTGAACCCAGAATACTTTACCATTGAACTACATCTTTAGTCTTTTTTATATTGAGACAGGGGCTCACTAACTTGCTGAGGCTGAATTTGCAATCCTCCTGCCTCAGTCTCCTGAGTCACTGGAATTACAGGCATGTACACCCAGCATTTTAAAGTGATCTCTAAGAACCAAGTGCTGCATGCCTGTAATCCCAGTGACTTAGGGATGAGGGAAAGAATGATATAGGCTGAGGCAGGAGGATTGCAAATTCAAGGCCAACCTTGGCAACTTAGTGAGATATAGCTCAGTGGTATAGCACTGGGTTGGATCCCCAGTACCAAAAAATAAAATTTAAAAATATAAAGTGATCTCTGAGAACAGTCTGACACTTGCAGCTTGCTCCAACATGTTCCTTTCTGATGCTGCTACAGTGTTCCCTGCAGACTGAGATGCTCACCAGAAGCTGGCTGCCCCTCAATCCCTGGTATGACTCTGCCTGGATTGTCCCTCTTTTCCCTTGCAGGAGATGTGCACATTGCCATCATGGACCGGGGTGGCCAGCTGGAAGTGGAAGTGATTGAAGCTCGGGGCCTGACCCCCAAACCAGGCTCCAAATCTCTCCCAGGTGAGGCTGAGCAGCTAGGAGAGGGACTTGGGTAATGGAGGTCCTAGAAGGGAGGGGTTTGTAGCTGAACTGTATGTAGTCCATCCTTAGCTCCCACTGGCCTACATCAGTGTTCTTGACTGGAGTCACACCTTCCCTGGAAGGCCAGTGAGTGAGGTGGGGGCAGGAGAGGATGGAGGGGTCAGCCTCTTCCTTTTGCAGTGCACAATCTATTTACCTTGCTCATCTCCAGGGTCCCCTGGAGGTTGGGGATGGGGTGGGCCATAGTTGTCTCTCTGGGACTATATTATTCTTTCCCTTATCCCTCAGCTACCTATATCAAGGCTTATCTGCTTGAGAATGGGGCCTGCTTGGCCAAGAAGAAGACAAAGGTGGCTAAGAAGACCTGTGATCCCCTGTACCAGCAGGCTCTGCTTTTTGATGAGGGGCCCCAGGGCAAGGTGCTGCAGGTGAGTATTAAGGGTGAGTGGGCTAGGGTCAACTCAAAAACTGGAAATCATGACGAGGTTCTTCAGTGATGATTCATCCTGTCAAGCATTGTACAGGTGCATTGCTTATATTGTCCATTTATTTTCACAACTCCAGTGAGGTGTCCTTGCCCCCAGTTGAATCAGAAGGAAACCAAGGCTTCGATGTAGATAAGATGCTCCCTAGCTTGCACAACTGGCAGGGAGAAGCAGGATTCATTTCCATACTGCCTCCTTCTGTTACCTGGTGCTGATGTTCATTGTGCATCAGCTGAGGGTGGGACTTTCCAGATATGATCTCCTGTCATCCTCGGGACTACCCCATGAAGTAAATGTGATTTCCTCCATTTTACAAATGAGGAAACAGTCTTGGGTAGATGAAGTGACTTGATTGAGGTTTCAGCGAGTGATTAGCAGAACTGAGGTCAAGTTTAGGTGGCTCTTATCCCAACTCTTTGAGGGTGACAAAGCTCTTTCATGCTCTGTGTGTTATTGGCCTTCATAGCAGTACTGCAAGGAAAGGCTCATCAGGTCCCCGCCATAGACAAAGACTCTGAGCTCATGTGGGCCTTCAGCACTGTGATGGGTCTGTCTCTGAGTGTGGTTCTGGGTTCAAATTCTAGCTGACACTCACTAGCTATGGGTGGTATATCGTGGAGATTGAAAGAAGGCACCTAGACAGCTACTTGCTAAGTTTTAATGGTGATGGTAGCAGTTGGTCTTGCCTGAGCAAGAGAAGAGGTTAGAGTCAGGCCTGTCTGGGCTGTGTGTCTTCTTGTTAGTCAGCTTTCTGTTTGTAGCAAAATACCTGAGATAATCAACTTGAAAAGAGGAAAGGTTTATTTTGGCTCAGTTTTTGATAGTTCAGTCTGTGCTTAGTTTTCCCCACTGCTTCTGGGCCTGTCAAGAGGTAGCATGTGGTGGCAGGAGTGAGCAGTGAAAAAAACTGCTTTCCTCCTGCAGCTGGGAAGTGACAAGAGAGGGGAAGAGACCTGCACCATACTATCCCCCTCCAGGGTACACCTTCAAAATCTGAAACCATTGTTTCCACCATCTCCCACTAGTGCCAAGCTAGGGGCTAAGCCTATAACACCTGGGCCTTTGGGAACATTTATCTGCACCATAGAGGGCTGCTCCTCTGAGCTGGGGTGTTTCTATGACAAGGACCCTTGAGTTGCCAAACTTAAAAACCACAGAACTGTAGGGTTCTGGGGCAGGGGGCATAATATCATGTGTCTGTTTAAAAACACAAGTTTGAATATCACTCAGCTAATCTGTTCACACTACCAAAGTTACAAATAGAAACACTGAGTTACACGAGGGCCCAGGACAGATGCAAGATCCACAGGGATCCAGCAGCAGAACTGGAGGTACAATGGGGAAATTGTTGATTAGGATGCTTGGAGGCCCTGGAGTCAAACACACCCAGCTTCTAACCCCAGGTCTGTTATAAATGACTATATCTTTAGGTTAGTTAAATCAGCTCAGAGCTGTGGTTTCCTCTAAGTAGAAATACTAATACACACAGCACCGCTACCCATGTGGGTTGTTAGAACAATTAAATGACACATGTAAAGTCCATAGGATCGAGTCTGGCACATCTTAAGTGCTCAGAAAGTTGTTGCCCAAAATCAATCTGGGTTCGGGCGTTCTCTGTCCCATCTGTACCCTGGCAAAACTTAGTTTTCTAGGCCCACTTCCCAGTCCTGGAGCGAAGAAGAGTGGCTCAGCTCTTGATTCTTTCTCCCCTGCTGGCAGGTGATCGTCTGGGGAGACTATGGACGCATGGACCACAAGTGTTTCATGGGTATGGCCCAGATCATGCTGGATGAACTGGACCTGAGCGCTGCGGTTACCGGCTGGTACAAACTCTTCCCCACCTCCTCCGTGGCAGACTCCACGCTCGGATCCCTCACCAGGCGCCTGTCCCAGTCCTCCTTGGAGAGTGCCACCAGCCCTTCCTGCTCCTAAGAACCTTGCTCAGGACCAGAGGCCGGGTGGTGGTGTGAGAAGGGGGCCTGCTGGCCTCTACCTCCCCTGTACATAGTCTCCATCTCTTTCTGGACCCCTTGCCCTGCTGCATGCCTGTTGGCTACTGGGCTTGTCCCAGCTGGCAGTGGAGGTGTGTGTGTGTGTGTCTATTTGTGTGTATGTGTGTGTGACTACTTTTTATGTATTCATTTGTCTGGGTACAGTCAGTCCTGGTGACACATGGGCTGGAATCCATGTCTCTTTGTATCTTGTTGAAAAGAAACCCAAAGGAGTATTGTGTGGATGTGACTTGCCCTGAGGAATCTCTAGGGGTGGAAGTGGGGGATGAGGCCACTGGCCTATCCTGCCTCTCCCTGTCCCTGTGGCAGAGCCTGTGCCCCCCGCCCCTTGGTGGTCTCTGCTTGGTTCTGTCTTGTCTTTTGTTTCACCCTTTGCCTCTCCCAGCATTGCTGCTCTTTTTTGAGGAATGTAGCATCCACTGCAGTGGGCCACACTGGGCTCCTCTGGGAACCCCCCGCCTCTGTCCCTCTCCCCACCTGAGCTGCTCCAGCAGCTCTCTCCACCAAACGCATCCTGCAGCACGTAGCATGCTCACTTAGTGCCCTGGCCAGAGCCCCAGGGAGGCAGAAGGTGCCTGGGGAATAGAGGGCTTTGAGATTGCTTTCCCCTGAGGCTAGAACCACCTGCTTCCTACCAGCTAGCATGAGGAGGTCTTCGCTCCTGGGTGCTGGCCAGGTCCCCTAGAGGGTAGGGCCAGGGTGCTTCCCTCAGCATTTGTTCAAGGCCTTTTCTCCCTCCCAGCCACCTCCAACAAGCCAAAGGAGCTCTCCCAGGGGGCCCAGGAGGTCAGCCTCAGTGGCATGTCATCTGCCAAAGCAGACAGTCTCCCCACCCCCAGGCCCAGACATTGGTCCTATCCCATTCTGGGCTTGTCCCTAGTGGGACCTGGCTTGTTAAGAGGTGCTGAGGGCATGGCTGTTTGCTGGAATCAGGAGGGCTGAGGCTGACTTGTTCTGAGCCACTTTTGGGAATACTGTCTGACCTTTGGGGATGAACTACATGAAGCTGACTACCTGGAGCTCTAGTCCTTGCTTATTTCCAGACCAGGGTCCCTGACACACACACACACTTGGACTCTAGCCTCCTGGCTCTATGAGTAGCCTGGCTCTGGACTCTAATCTGCAGTCACCAGCTCTGTACAAGCAATACTTAACCCCTCTTGGCCTCCCTGCCGTCTTGCACAATCCTGCTGCCCTCCAGGAAGTGGCCTGCTCTGGGCACCCCAAATGCCTCTGCTTTATTTCTCATCCTTGTCTAGTTGGGACTTTTCTCCCAGCCACTTAGACCCTGACTCGATTTGACAGCTGGAACCTATTTTGTGGGGGAACCACTGCCTGGTCAGCACCCTGTGAGAGGTCTGCTGGGAATCCTTAAGTCTGGCTTGGAAATGTCACACGTGTCCCTCTTCCTCCTCAGTCTAGGGTGAAGGGTGTGAGGCAGCCCTGGGTTCATGTCTAGGAGGGAGGGAAGAGGTGGCAGGAGGGGTCAGGACATGGGGAAGGCTGTCTGCCTCTTCCCCAGTCCTCATCCTCAAGTGCTAACATCTAGCCCAAGTGCCTGGGGCAGGAAGAACTGCCTGGGGTTGCAGGGCTGAGGTCTCGGGGATGATTGCCTTCATACCAAAGCTGGAGGGGGTATAGGGACCATCTCAGTCCAGAGGACCTCCTTGTCTAGCAAGAATCTTCACTGAGCTGAAGTCAGAGTCCTGTAACCTCCCTCCCAAGAAAACAAGGGGAAACTAGGATCCCCTTCCCACAGACAAAAAGGTAAGGGTGGGAGAAAAATGAACAAAATTGGCTTCTGTCTCCTCCTGAGTCTGTTATTGCATATTCAGAGAAGAGATCCTTGTGTGCAGAGGGTGAGAAGGTGGATGGACTATTGCCTCTTTAGGCAGAAGCACTCTCCTCAGTCCTGCTTGAACTGGAAATACATGTATTTCCCATGTTCCTAAAAATGGGACAAAGGATTCTGTACTCTTTGACCCCAGTGGGGACAGGGTAGGGAGGAAACTCTTGCAAAAGGATATTTTTGCCTCCTGTTTGGGGTGTATTCACCTCTAGAACAGTCACCCTCTGGATGGTGTGAAAATACACCTTTGGAGTGGGGGGAAGTATTAGTGACCCATGGATGGCACAGACATTTTCTGATAAGGCACAAAGGCACCCCCAGGAAATGGTATCTGTCAATATCCTCATGCTTCTAGGTGTCCTGGGTGGCACTGGGAGAAGGGATTGCTGCCAGCAGTGAGGCTGCCCTTGTAGCTCTAGGTCTTGGCTCCCCTTACCTCTGAAGAGGATCAGCATAGGGAGAGGAGCCTGATATGCTGGTAACTTAGGCTGACTGCCTACAATTCCTGGCTGTCAGTACTGCACAGGAGTGGGGCCACTCTGCTATTCCACCTCTCTAATGATAGGCTGTTCTCTACAAATTGACCTTGGGGAATTCTTAACACTTCCACAAATAAGTTACTGGAGTCCCCCCACAAGGATGAGGCTGACATGCAAACATAGTGGAGAGTGGCTGCATTAGGGTCTGTTCCTCAGAGTTCTGGATGCACATTTTGCCTGAGAAACCACTGGAGCTAGCCTGTCCTACAAGAGGAGCATGCACAAGTATGACTCCTGGCCTACTCTGGGCTGGAAGAGACCTACCTTCTGAGGAGGAGATGGTGAGGAAGGAAGGAACATGATCCTTCTGAGGTCTCCCTACCATGGAGCCAACTCAGCTGCTCCCGCACTCCAAATGAAACCTGGCAGTGGTTACAAGAGAGGGCTGTCATTCCATGTCCTCTGGTTGGGTGGGGTTCAATTGAGGATGTGGCAGAGACAGGAGTGGCCCTGCAGTGATGCTGGGCTGTGGTTGGGGACAGTGATGGATGATTCAGAGCATCTGTCTTCATATTTCTGCTCTGCTCAGTGTCCTACTTTCTTCATGGACTCCTTCCCTTCAGGAAGTCTGCGATGGGCCTTTGGTAAGAAGCAGGCTCCAGTAAGAGGGCCAAGTCCTGGTTCGACAAGGAGGATTTGATCCTTCAGGGAAGAACATCTCCAAAAGTACTCTCCATCCAGTCTCTTCTTCTACCCAGTTCTGCTAGGAAAGGAGCACTTAGGTCTTGGGATTGCAGGTCCCAGTAAATGCCAGCATTCTGTGTGGCTGAGGCAGAACCTAGAAGAGCTTCAGGGAGAGCATCTGAATCACTCCTCTCTCATGGAATCACTGCTGGTTGGAGCACTAAGGTCAAGCCAGCTCTCCCAGAGGCCTGACTCCCACACCAGGGAAGCATGCCTAAGCTCTTCTTCACTGCCAGCCTTGAGGAGAACAGAAGCCTCCGTTTTTAAAGACAATAGAGCCCACCAAGGGCACTTCTTTGGAAATGAAATGTAGCACAATCCTAAACTGCGATACCAGAAGCCCTGACATGCATCTTGGGGCTGTACTCCAGGCCCTGCTGCCCAGGAGATGTGGAGCTCCTCTTCCCCGGGACCCTAGGGCTCCTAATACCTCATGTTCCCCTTTGCCCTTGGCCCAGAAAGCAGCAGGTCTTTGGTAAGGCTGCTCTTCTGTGATTCCCTGATTGCTTCTAGCACTGTGCAAACTCTGCAAGAAACTGCTGCCTTTGCCTGAGGTAGATGAGCTGCTTCTCACCAGAGTGGCAAGAGGTTTGGCCCTTTCTTCAGGGCAGAAGGTTGTTGGGCAGTATTTCTGCAGTGGCTACAGGGAGGTGGAAAAGAAAAGGCCTGCTTCCCTGCCTCCTTTTTCTTCCTCTCCTCAGAGGTGACTTCTCCAATGTCCTGACAGGTAGAGAGATTCTTTAAAATGCTGCTTCCTCTGCTGGACTGTCTTTCACAGGATGATCAGGGAGGAGATGGAAATGCAGACTCATCCCCTGCTTTCTCCCTCCAGTCTGCTTCTCACCCAGGTCAGAAGAGACTGGGACAAAACAAAATAATCATGCTGGAAGAGCAGGGGAGCCACCAATCAGGTGTGCCCTGATGGTGGCTGGATTGGCCTGGTACAGCTTGGAAAGGTTTATTTTGAAAGAGTGCCTGAGCATCTCAGAGCAATGTCAGTGATGCCAAAGAGAGCAACTTGGCCTCCTTGGGCACCAACTCTGTTGGTGGAGCTGCACAAATGCAGCTCAGATGTTGGCATGCCCAAGCATGAGACCTTGTTCTCTGACAAAGGGCTTAATCTTTCCATGTAGCAAAGCAACTCCCCCTCCCCCCAACCCCAAGCTTGGGCTTCTGCAGGCCCAGGATGGCTGTGCCTGTGAAGGAAGCCACATCAGCAAGAGGAACTTGCATTTTCCAGGGTCCTAGAATGGCTTGGGGAAGATGCTTGTTGAAAAGCATGAATGTTATTGCTTCAGAGAAAACTTCCAGGGCTCTGGCTGGAAACCTGGCCAGCAAGGACAGGGCCTTGCCCCCCCCCCAAGGAGTTTGCATCATACCAGGAAGGGTCCCTGAGGTTGGGTTCCAGACCACTTGGCTAACAGAAAAAGGGCCTTGGAATTCCAGAGACAACTGTACTTTTCCTCTATTAGCCAATGACCTGGACAGGGACAGCTGCTCTACACCATTTTGCCAGAAGCTGTGACCTTGTTTGAGACTCCTCACTTCTCTGGACCTCAGCTTCCTCATCTGCAAAATCACAGCCTCAGCTAGTTGGAGCTAGCTGTGGAGGGTTGCAAGCCTGGTGCACCTGGTTTCATCCAGCCTCTGGTGCCCAAGCTGGGCACAGTCCTGATCCTGTCCATGCCCAGATGCTGCTTCTGACAAGAACTCTGGGAACCCTAACACACTCTGCTTTCACCTCTTTGTGGTTTGCACTCCCTCCTTTACTCTTGTGTCATGGTGAAAAATTTTTTAAGGGTTGTCTACAACGGAGAGTTTTCAAGGGGCTGGTGTGGTGTCACCACTTCAGTTGCATCTTGAATAAGTCAGTGTCCCCATGAGCAGGTGAGGCTGGGTCACCCTCACTTCTGCTTCTAGAAGATATCAGTGGGGAGAGCTGAAGACCTCAGAGTTTTAAAGGAAATACTCTTGGATGGGAGGAGAGAGGGAACTTATTTCCCTTCTATTTTGCTTTTTAAAACCACTCCTCCCTCCAAGATGTCTTTTACCAGACATCATCTCAGAAAGCAGAGTGGCTACATCCTTAAGGAAAGGGCCAAGAGTTCTCTCAACTCCTTTAGCATTTAAACTCACGGAAGGCAGGAACCCCTTTTTTTAGAATCTCCAAATGCACCCTGCAAAGAGAGATAGCTGTTAGGGACTGACAAGCACACTGTTTAGATAAGAAGCAATTTGCCTTTTATATCTGTGCTCTATACATTTTCTATGTGCAGCATCTTTCCAAACGTGTGGTTCCTGGGTGGCAGGTGGACAGCTGGGAGGGACTGCCAGCTGTTTTGTACGATTTTCTTGCCAATTCTCTCGAGGAAAAAAATTCTTCACATGGCTTCTGCATGTACAGTATTTGGGCAGCAAAAAAAATTATTAAAGTCCATTTGAAATTGGCCTTGTGTTGCATTTTTGGAAGAAATTCTTAATTCTAGGAGGAAGAAAACAGGGTTCCAGGTGACTAAAAAGAGGAGTAAGACATTGCTTGAGAAGCAGAAGAGTGCCTCAGTGCATCTCAGAAAAAAGCATGGAAGATATGACCTGGGCTCTGACCCCTGGCTGGGGGGTCTCTGTTGGGCTATGGAGTTAGACTGGTTCAGACAGCTTCCCAGCTGTCTTCTAGGGTCCCTACTTACTGACCTTCAAAACTTTCTGTTCCACATACTCCACAAGGGATGTCCAAATAGAGGGTAAGATAAAATGGGGCAAAGGATCTGCTCAGGCATGTGGCTGGGTCAGTCTCGCCAACTTCAGCCATACCTGAGAAAAGCAGTTAGCCTCTAGTGCTGTGAACTACAACTGACCCCTGCAGCACCCCTTGCCTTCTTCTCAGAGGGACAGAAAGGTATGTTAATATTTGGTCACTTCTAGGTAGATCCATTGTTGTCTTAAGGGTGGGACTGGAGAGTACAGAAGAAGGATGAAGGAAGTGTATCACTGTCATAGCTAGTGCTGGCCAGCATCCTTCATCCCCGAAGCCCTCCAGGGTGATCTCAACTATGTTGTCTCTGGCCTTTGGCCTAGCGGTGTCCATGGGTATCATCTCTTGAGGGACAGCTCAGGAGACCAATGTATGAACTCTGGCAATCCCTAGGATTCTGGTTTTTACTTCTTACCTCTCAAAGGACAAAGGGGCAGACAGTGAAAACTGAGATCCAAAGAATGAAATCCTAAAGGATGTTCTTCAGACAGAAGGAACATAGTACATGCCTTAGGGTTATTGGGGGATTAAGATGAGATAATGTGTTTAACTCACTGTTCTATGCTCAGAGAACATAAGGAACATGGTAAATGTCATATGGTAGCATTAAGGAAGATGATCATGGATGGAAAAGCTAAGAGGCAAGAAGGAAGTGAGCAAAAAAAATAGATTAAAAATATTACTAGGGCCAGGCGTGGTGGTACACACCTGTAATTCCAGCAGCTTGGGAAGCTGAGGCAGGAGGATCATGAGTTCAAAGCCAGCCTCAGCAATGGTGAGGCCCTAAGCAACTCAGTGAAATCCTGTCTCTAAATAAAATACAAAATAGGGCTGGGGATGTTGCTCTGTGTTTGAGTGCCCCTGAGTTCAATCCCCAGTACCCAAAGAAAAAAAAATTACTAGGCATTAACATAGATTATAAAATTATAATGTTGAATCTGTAAAATTAAATATTAATAGCACATAAACTGGTTCTTTTTAAAACTTTGTTTTAGTTGTAGATAGACACAATACCTTTATTATTTATATTTTATGTGGTGTTGAAGATCAAACCCAGTGCCTCACATGTACTAGGCAAGCGCTCTACCACTGAGCTACAACCTCAGCCCATAAATTGGTTCTTGGAATGTTCTTGAGGAGGGTGAAGATATTGAATAACTTCAATCTTAATTCTACATTTTAAAAATCTCTAAAGTAAAAAAAATAGTCTAGAAGAATTCAGTCTAGAACTGAATTCTAACAGTGTATTAAAAATACCTCATAAGTATTTGTTTATCTCAGTGATACAAGGATGGTTATTATCAGATGATTTTATCATCATAATTCACCACATTAATAGACTGATGGAGAAAATTTGTTTATCCTAATGCAGAAAAGACATTTTATAAGGTTTAATTCTTCTCATAATAAAAACGGGAGCTGAGCTGTGGCTCAGTGGTATAGCACTTGCCTAAGTGAGGCACTGGGTTCGATTCTCAGCACCACATACAAATAAATGAACTAAATAAAAGCCCATCAACATCCAAAATATATATATGAAAAAAAAGTGAACAAAAGGTAACTTTCTTAATTTGATAAAAGACACATTCTAAAAAACCTACAGCAAATATTGTTGGAAAACACATTCTCTTTAAGATCAATACAAGGAGGCCCTCTATCACTGCTATCATTTCAGATAGTTTTGAAAATCTTTATGATGCCATAAAGAAGAAATAAGAGACATAAGGATTAAAAGAGAAGAGATAAAATTCACTTGTAGATAATTTATTTACCTATTTTTTTTTAAAGCATCAATTATTAGAACTAATAAGATCATTCAGTGAGGTTGCTGGATATTAAGATCAACCTACAAAAACCAGCTGCATTTTTCTATAGAAGCTAAAACCAATAAATAATAACAAAATATCATTCACAATAGCAATAAGACTCATTAAATATTTATGGGTATCATGGCACATGCCTGTAATCCCAGTAATTTGGGAGGCTGAGGTGGAAGGATCCCAAATTCCAGGCTAGACTCAGCAACTTAGTGAGATTCCATCTAAAATAAAGAGTTGGGGATGTAGCATAATGGAAAAGGGCTCCTAGGTTCAATCCCCAGTACCTCCCCCCCCCAAAAAAAAACCCTAAGTATCTGGGGATTACTTGAGAGCATATAAGACCTTTTGAAGAAAACTTAGAAATGCTAGGAAAACAGCGAATCTGAATAAATTGAGCAAGATTCCTATTCTTGGATGAGAAGGTTCAATATAAAGAGAATAATTTCCCCCAATCTATAAATTCAATGTAATTTAATCAAAATTTCAGTTGGCATTTTAAACTAAACTTCCTCTCCAATTTACATGAAGCAATGCAAGTCCCTGAATGGTTCAATCAACTCTGTTTAAGAGAATGCCCAAATATTAACACATGCATATCTGGGAAAACAATAGAAGACAAAGGAGCAACCTTAAAACAATGACAGATTATTTTAAATGTTAAAGAAACTAGTTCACTATCAGGATTTAAAAAAAAAAAAGTATCCCTACCTAAGCTGAGATACAAAGATAAGCTCTATGTGGTTTAACAGACCTACAATTGGAAGGTAAAATATAAAGTTGATAAAAGAAAATGTAAGAAAAATATTTTTGTGACTTAAGGACAAGGAAGAACTTGTAATGTTAATTATTAATGTGCAAATTAGAGCAATTATGAGACATCGCTTTGTACCTATAATAGGCTGGCAAAAAATGAGAAAGTTGAATAATGTTAAATGATGATGGGTCATGATGATACAGAAACCTCAGAGAAGCTACTGAGAATGCAGCTTGAGGCAGTCATTTTGGACCACTCTGGTTCAATTATATGCAGATCTCCCGAGGACTGGCAGGCAAGGAGTAGCAGGGAAGAGTCAGAGAGGCAGGAACCTGATTGCAGGAGGAGAGGTGTAAGCATGGGAGGCATGGTGTCCATATCTGGAGGGCCACTGGAAACAACCCCCCTATGGCAGGGGCATCAGGGGAGACACTGGTGAATGGAATGGCACAGAGAAAAGTGTCAAGGCCTGCTCAACTGCAGGGTGAGTGCAAGACTTGCGGTGTATGGAGTTCTCACTGGGAGGACTAGGACTGTGTACTCAGGGGTACTTATGGGGACACCCAGCTGGGGCAGAATGATAATGGATGTCCATACACATGCATCTGGCAGCAGAGCAGTAAGAGGGGGATAAAACAGGAGCACACTGGAACCAGGATGAGGAGTTCCTTCCACCTGTAATGTCCCCCTGCCACCATCTACTGACAAACTTCAATGCTGTGCTCACTGAAAGGACAGCTTAAAAGGAGCAAGTTAGGAGTTAAGAGGCAACATATGGATAATCGTCATATCTACCTACGAGTGCAATGGAAAAACAAACAGTTTGTGTCATATTAGTTTATGGGGTACTACTCAGCACTACTGATAATATGCATAGCACAGATGATAAGGAGGTGGTGGGGAGCAACCTGCCTAAGGAAAAGGAACTTGCTGAACATCCCACCAGCTTCTGAAAAGTGGGAGGCACTGTGGATGGATGTGTAATAGCAATATTATAGTAGTAATAACTATAAGAACAAGTTGTAAAGAGGCTGCAGAAGAAGTCTGCCAAGTGGCTCCTTTAAAATAACCCTAACACGACATTGGGCCATTAGCTAATGCTTGCTGTGTCAGTGGTAAAATGGGGAGTCTACAGTCTCAATTTGTGTGTGTGTGTGTGTGTGTGTGTGTGTGTGTGTGTGTGCGCACACATGCACATGTCAAAACTCCATAGACTGATAAAAGAACACCACAAGGACAGGAAAATCTGCAAAATATAAACTAGTTATAAAAATTTTTGCTCAATATAACCAAAATTCCTCTTGTGGGTTTGATAAAATCACTTCCCACACTTGGTCTCAGGCATGTCCATGGCCCAGAGGGATCTTACTGAACTGGCCTTATGAATTCATAAGATAAATGATTTCCATCCCAGGGAGGACACGTATTTTTAAGTGTGGAAGTTTAGATTGGAGCAACCTATTTAACCCAATGCTTCCCATACTGGGTACCAATTTGACAGAGCTCTCACATGGTATTAAAAGTGAACATATGAAAGACAATTCAGAACAGTTCATGGAGGTGGAGAGTTTGAGGCAGTCTAGGTTCCCTCTGTCCCTGGGGAAATGGATGCATGTAACAGAGATAAGTACAATATGGAGTACATACAGTGCAAAAGTTACAAATGCAGATGATGTGTACATGCAGAGATGGATCTTAAAAATAGAGAGTAGGGGAACTAGGGCTAGAGCTCAATTGGTAGAGTGCTTGCCTCGCATGCACAAGGCCCTGGGTTCAATCCCCAGCACCACCAAAAAAAAAAAAAAAAAAAAAGTGCTAGGGGAAAAGGCTAATAAAGTCTCGAGCATGATATGTACAAAATTTAAAAATATAATCCACAAAATAAGAGCCACATATTTTACAAGAATATCTATGTGCACACAGAAAAATGTGTTCAGAGGTCTTTTTCCTTTTTCCTTTTTTTTGGTAATGAGGATTGAACCCAGAGCTGCTTTACCACATCCTCAGTCCTTTTTATTATTTTTTATTTTGAGATGGGGTCTCATTAAATTGCTTAGAGCCTCAATAAATTGCTGAGTCTGAACTTGAACTTGCCGCATCCTCCTGTCTCTTCAGAGGTAAGGACAAGTGGGAAAAGGGCTAAAAGTGAAAAAATAGGGCTGGGGTTGTGGCTCAGTGGTAGAACACTTGCCTAGCATGTGTGAAGCTGATTCAATTCTTACGCTGCATATAAATAAATAAAATAAAGGTCCATCGACAACTAAAATTTTTTTTTTTTTTAAAGTGAATAAATAAATAAAACAAGAGTGAGACCCTGCACAGGCCAATGATAAAATCAGGATATGAACTAAGAATGGTTAGTTTGAGAGAATACCTTTTTTTTAGATTTTTATGTGGTGCTGAGAATTGAACCCGGGTCCCATCCATGCTAGGCGAGTGCTCTACCGCTGAACCACAATCCCAGCCCAGAATGGTTAGTTTGGACCTTTATTCCTGAGCTTAATCTTGTTCCAAGATTAAGTGTATTCTATCACCAAATGGAGTTCATCTGAAATATGAAATAGAACTAAACTGAGAGATCCAAATCAAGTTGTTGGTATTGTATCAAAAGGAAGGGAAAACAAAACATCTTAGGAGCATTGCACTCACACCATCAGACTAAAGCTGCCTCATATGTCTATGCTGATCTCTCTGCAAGGTTATAGTAACCTATATGTGCATACACTGTGTCCTATTGTGTCTGTATGTCAGAACACGTGACTTAAGCATTATGATTATTAGGGATAATCAGAATTCAGAATTCACTTGGAATTTTCCCTAAACTTTACTCCCTAATGGAGTATCTTATGTAAAAATAATCCTGGGGAAGGAGGAAGGAATGCACTGGATTCAGCCAGCAGGAGAATTAACGTCTAGGTAGTGGCTGAGAACGCAATCTTGGGAAAGAGACCCTTACCTGAGGGAGGTGCTCCTCCAGGTTGTATTACTGCTAGTCACCATTCAGTGTCCCCCATGTCCACCAGGTCACTAGGATGCTGGATACCACAATCCCAGAAGCTCTGGGAAAAGCCAGGTCCCCTCTTGGTAGGGATCTGGGGCCTCCACATGGAGTTTGGGTATCATCAGGCCTGACGAGGGCAGGCTGGGGCAGATGTTCCAGCAGAAGCAAGGGGTATCTATCTGGGTCCAAGGCCCATGCATCGGGGGAAGGAAGGGTGAAGAGGAGGGGCAGGGATAAAGGGAGAAGCATGGGAGAAGAGGGGAGCAAGTCGGAAGGGACGGCGAATAGAAGGGAGAGGGAGAGGAGGAAGGTAGGTGACAGGAGGAGGAGGACAGGCCAGGGTAGAGGTGACCCATGCAGGGAGATGGGATGAGGAAAGATTGGTAAGAGGAGGGAGATGGTTTGGGAAGGAGATGGGAAGAGAACTAGTTTGATCTAAGTGACTGCTGATGGAGGAAGTCACAGGGCGATGAGACAGAGAAGTCATAGGGATAAGAGGCGAGAGAGGAGGAAGGGAGGGAGCTGAAGACCCAGCCAGTGCAGGGGTAGATGGGGGATGAAGAGGAGACTGAGCAGGAACGAGGCAGGGCAGCTTCTTCTGCATGACTTTCAGTTGAGAAATGAAGGTCTGTATGGTGGGTTCAGTGTTCTGCATTCTTTCTTTGCTTGATTCCATTGTGACTCAAGATTCTGTTAAGAAAGTTTAAGATTCTAGGGCACTTTGGGAAGGAAGAGAACTTTGACAACCTCAAATACAGCTTTCTTCATCTTATAAATGAAGAATTAAAAGCGTAACAAAGTGTCCAAAGTCACCTGACAGTTTGTTAGAGGTGCAGTTTGAATGAAACCCAATGTAGAGTACATAAAAACAATCCCAGGCTGACCTGGCAGTGGGTCAATGGTACAGAGCTCTCCAGGGGGTGGAGGGGAACCCTCTGACCATCAGGGCCAGTCTAGACAGACAGAGGGGAGGTAGTTACTCTCCTTACATCCTTTAAGGAATCCTGGAAGGCACCTTACATCCCTGTTTAGTCACTGCCACAGTAACTAAACCTGCAGTGAGCCCCTTGTTTCCCCACTGTGAGAAACTCCACTGCACATTTCCTAGGAAAGAGATTGAACATGAAGAAAACCCTAAAAGGTGATTTCATAGGAGTATAGAGTAGAATAATAGTCACCAGAGATTAGAAAGGAGAAGAGAAGGCAAAGGAGGGAGGTTGGATAGTGGCTACCAACACAGGAGGAATAAGTTCTAGTATTTTCAGCACAGTGGGGTGACTATAGTTTACAATAATTTAGTATCTTTTATAAA